CTTGCCGGCCCTGCTGGCCCACGTCCGCCCATGTGGACCATTGTCCTTCCCTGCGTGGACGCCGCACGGGATATCCTCAAAGCTGAGGTGGAGCTTCAGTCCAACTTCATGGATCAAATTCACAAGGCCCCGACCGGTGGAATTGGGCGATCGCCCGGTTTTTTTTGTGGCGGGGGGAGCTGACCAGGAGGAGATGTCCACCAGAACGGGGGTCATGTAGACTCTTGATTAATACACCCTCCCATTTGAATTGAAAATCCTCTTCAAAGGGGGGTTTATTGATCAAGAGTCTACATTATTCTAATGGTATTCTACTGAAATCTGCAGGTGAAGCAAGATGGACAACTGTGAATTCAAACTCTTGAGCATGAATGCAGCGAATGCAGGGCACCACCTGGGGATCACAGTTCAAGATGCCGTCTGTGGGACTGCCGTTTTACTCTGGCCGTGTGCTTCGCGGTGCCGCTCCAGGCCCCTGCCTATGCGTCTTTGAGGGAAGAGTTTGAGATTCTGCAGTGTCGCTTGGCATGGTGCCAGCTGGGAGCGACCCGACAGAGCTACTGGCTGTGGCCCCTGCAAGCGAAGTGAGGTGATGTGAGTCAAATGAGCTGTTCCAAAAGGGTGCCAGAAACCTTGCTTGGTCAAAGGCAAGCGACCCAAACTAATGAATCACTAGAGCTAGCAGCTAGCAGCAAACACCAAACCCTCCACATCTTATCAATGTATATAGTAGGCTTTGATCAAAAAACATCTTCGTAAGAAGAGGTTTACACTCCAAATGCGGGGAATATATATTTCATCAAGAGTCTACACTGCCAGACTGCACTGACTTTTTCACCCTGACCCAGCCAATTTCCCCCTGATCTTCCCGGCGGCATGCACGAGGTGAGAGAGAGGAGATTGTCAAACGGCTGCGGGTGCTCCAGGGCGTTGGCGGCCCCGGTGTGGTTGATGTAGAAATCGAAACAGCTTTCCGGGGAAGATGGAAAAGGCTGAGGTGGAGGGTAGAGGTATAGGTACTAGGGGGTTTTGTTTGTGTTTCAATATGCTGCACCCAAACTACCACGAGAACCTTTCCGGTTGTCCAGTTTGGGGTTTCTCTTGGCTTGGTGGGGTTGCTGATCTTCAGATCGGTGCTGATCTGGCGTCCACACCAAGGAAGGAGCGTGTGATCAAGGAGTGGAGGTTCAATCTCCCAGGCCGGGGTCCTTGTCCAAGGTCGGTGTCCCAAAATCACCACATCCATGCGCAGCGATGGATCACCATCCCAGTGAGTCTCTCGAACCGCTCTGCGGGCGGATTCGCTCCTCAGTCGCTCAGGAGATCTCCAGAAGGGATGAAGAGAAGGCTTGATCCCCTGAAGTCGCGCGGCGACTTCGGCCTCCTGCGTTCGACGGCGCGTCGACCGTGCCGGTTTGCGGGGTGCAATGTTCAGCTGCAGAGGGGGTGTGGATGGGTCAATCCAACTGCGGATTCTGATGAATGAATCGTCACTGGGGCCATGAAGCATGAGATGAAACGCATGTCCTTGGCGAGGGGATCCATACTCTGTCGCTTGGCAGCATGTCCCGGATGGTGCCCAATTAATTGCTTCTCTTATTTTCCTTCTTCCCAGGGGGTCGAGCTTGGAGGTCTCCCCGTTTTGTATACACACACACACAAACCCTATAGCTAGCCGTTGAGAAGGAGCACCCCTTCCGATGTCAGGCGCGGCTGAATGGATTGCTCGAGGTGCCGAGACCTGGGGGAACAGAGGGCCCTAGGGCTCCAAGTACCAGGTATGACTCCGGTATGACTGGACCCTCTAAACCCACCCCAGTCCCACTCTCAGAAGGTATTTGGAGCCCTATGGCATGTGTTTGCCTGCCAGCAGTTCCCGGGTGCTACCATGGAGCTGGGTTGCAGCATGCCCATGTTATCCCAGTAGAAGCTTCCGAACCAAGCTTCTGAACCAGTGTGGAAAAAGGTTCGGTTCACCAACTCTTTACTCCCTAGGGACCTTTTGCGTCTTCGTGCCTCGATCCAACTCTCAGCTCCACCCAGAAACACGACGAACCCAACAGGAGCGCGACGCCAAGATCCATCGCCTCGAGGATGAAGTGCGGGATGCTCGGGGTCCTGGAGACGTCCGCGGTGGTCGACCGAGACCGAGACGACGGAGACGACGGAGACGACGGAGACCGCGAGACGGGCACGTCGCGAGGGGATGATGCACGGTATTCAGTTTCAGTATACCAGGACCCTTTAAGGGGTGCCCTGTCTGGAAGCCTACAGGTAGTGTGGGGTAGTCCAGCCAGGACACCCCGACAGGAGGGTCCAGGTAGTTTTGTTTTAGTGTTTTGGACTTCTATTCTTGCAAGTGTGTTTTTCCCGCTTATGTGGGAGGGAACATGAAGTGATACAAACAGATGTAGTATGATGTAGTAGCTGTGGGCTTATTTTATTCGTCTGAGAGGCAAAGCAGATCTACAGTTGCAGGGACAGAGCAGATCTCATGTACCTCCCATGTCCTTTGACCATGTTCTACTGAAACTTCTTTGACCATGCGATTCCCTAACCTCAATGAATGGGTTTAAGAGCAGATAATGTGCAGATGTACCAGATATTCACGGTTTTCATCCCCCAAACCTATGGGTTTCCCGTCGATGTTCCTTTGCCATTCTGGGTCGTTGCCAGGTCGCTGCGAGCCAGCTCCACCCCAGCAAGGCGAGGAGATCTCGCTGGCGAGCTGCAGGGTTCTACCATCATTGCCGGGGTTCACCAGCCATGTCTTAGGTAGAGAATTTCAACTGCTGGAATGACCATGAAGCAAATGGTCGTTTTGTTTCGACCCTAGGCCTTTGCATTCAACGTCAGGTCGCAATCAACCCCTGAATGCGAACCTTCCTTAGACTGTCGACCCTTAGGACGATATGGCGATACTCCTGAAATCAACCACCATGGTGGGCATCGAAGAACCAGCTGTGCATGGTCGCTTCGCCTGGCCGCCTCCTTCGCGCGCGTGCGCGCGCGTTCGGCTCGGCGGCCCTGAGAGGTCGCTGAACTGCGGGCCGACTTGAAGCGCACCAGGCATGAGTGCCAGGCAGCGACCATAGGGCCCCATGCGTGTGGGGTTGATGGTTGGGCCACCGCGTTGGCGTGTCGCGGCGGTGGTGCCTTGTCGTGAGCAAAAAGGGGCCATAAGGTGATTTTCGCGAACGCATCACCAAAAGGTGTAGATGCTTAAACTTGTTACTGTTGTTGCTCCTCTCACGGGTGTGACACCTAACCTGTACGATCGGACTGAGAGTAGATGGCACAAATGTGCAAAAGAAGGGTGGTTTAGAATTGGATCTTAATTAGCATAACAGGCCCCCCTCCCCCCCAGCAAACAATCCAGGGGGTCTGAAGAGTTTCACCGCAACAAAAACAAGTAGTAGTAGTAGTAGTAGTAGCAGCAGTAGTAGTAGTAGTAGTAGTGCTAGTTAGTGGTAGTAGTAGTAGTAGTCGTCGTCGTTGTCGTCGTCGTAGTAGTAGTGGCTAAAAGAGTTAAACCTCAGAAGAGTTAAGCAAGGATTTCAAAGGGCAGCAATACTCGTAGCAGAACAATAAAAAGTTAGATATTTTTCCTTAGGGCTTCCAGTTTGCTTTTTAATCCCACCTTCTTGAAAAATTGTTTGGAACAATGAAATCGTTGAGTTTTAATAAGCGTGTTTGAAAACGATTTTCAGGTCAGAATTCCATGAATCAAGCAAACCTCAGGAAAGTTAAGTAAGGATGTTAAAGGGTGAGCAATAGCAGAACAATAGAAAAGCAAACAGCCGAAAAAAAGAAAAAAAAAACATCCTGGGTCAAAAAAAACAACTGTATTCCGACCCATTAAACCAACCAGGGTGTGTGAATAGTTTGGCGAAAACTTGTTAATTATTCCATCCCATTATCCCTACGGCTCCAACTACCTCCTGAGAAGATGGTTGGGGTGGGTTTGGGGGGTCTAACCACCTTCTGAGGATGTGGTTGGAGCCCTAGGGTATACTAATTTGGATTCAACATTACCAGGACCTTTCTCCAAGATCCGGTGGTTGTGAGGGACACCCCTCCATGCATCTACACTGCCCACTCTCGGGGTGGTTCTTGTTGGACACCCCGAATCACCTCTTTTCAGGGCGATCATGAGACACCCGGTTGACCAAACCGGGGGCCTAGGTATATCCATCCTATGTACCATGTCATCCACTATATCCATCCAAGATCCGGATTACTCTTGCGGTCCCCGTGTGGAGCCTCCCAGCGCCGGGGGTTCCCAGACCGGCCGCAGCAGCGTCGCAGCATGTCGCCCACGCTGTGTGCAGGCCCTGTCTCAGGCCAACAGCGTCTTGAGAAGTTCCATTGCCACGCTCCAGTGGGGACCTCAGACCGCCCGGCAGAGGCGAAGGTGTTCTGTAGTGCGATCTGACGTGGCCTCATGGGTTGGGCAGGGTTTTAAGTTTAAACACGACCACGCGGCAAAGTGTTCCAGGACCCTCCAAGGGGTGTCTATTTATAGCCCCTTAGCTGTTAAGGGGTGTCCATTAACCACCTTGGGGCTCATTGTTTAATCTTTCTAGTATGGTGATGGTCTGCGTGTCCGACTGTGCTTGACATGACGAGGCTCGCGGAATTCCAGAGACGCCGCCCCTGAACCTTCCCAACGTGTCACATGATGCGAAGTACGTAGGTAGGGTGGATGATGGTGCAGATTCTGTGCAAGACTCCCTCGCCCGAAGCTGGCACGGCTATGGGTTTCGGTGTGGCACCCCTCCCCCAGCAAATCGGAGACAGAAAGACCTCCTTAGATTTGAAACCAACAGAGGTGCCAAGATCTTGCCACCCTTCACCCCCACTTGAACACCCTCCAGTGCACGTGATCAGACGCGCATCGACCACGGCGATCGATCGATCTGACGCCTGGACGGTGTCAGATTTGGCCCACCGTGTCCGACCTCGCCACCACCGTCGACTGGCCATGCACCATGCGCGCGATGGACGCAACGCTGCTCGTGGGCGTCGAAGGCACCAGGGCGTGGAGCTGTCCGCAGCGGCGGGTGATCGTGGGGCCGATGGTCTTCACCAGCGACTTCGATAGCGGCAACATGGGACCGGTCCAACTGGTGACTGATGCCGAGCAGGAACGAACATGGCCGGGGGCACCCGGGCACAGGGGAGATATCGAGAGTGTTTGGCGTTCGAACAATGATGGACTCTGGATATCTATGGAACCAGGTGCTTTCAATGTTTCTTTTTGGAGGCCAATGGTGAGGTGAGCAAAGCTCCACAACTGGAGGCTCGTGACTGGCTTTTCCTTGAGAGCTCTACCCTGGGTGAGTAGGACCGGACGGGTGGTTCCGACGCGTTTTCCGAGACGCTCCCTGACTACCTTGTACTGCTAGCTCGTCAAGATACGAACTATATGTCGGTCCCCTTTTGGAACATCCCAGTGTCGTTGGAGAGGGTGATATGTTCGTGATGTGTATAGGCTATATGATGCTATATGCATACTTAGAAGTTACAGGCGGATATATGCGGGATCATGATCACCTGTTGCCACGTTGGAGCTCCTGGCCCCACATGGAAGTGGATACACTCGGACGAACACATCACATGGAAGTGGATGGCATGGTCCCGTTGTTCAGACGACTTTCCTTTACGCACAGGTTTTTTTGTTCACTTCCATGTGATGTCTTCGTCGGAGCGTCGATCTGGAGAAATTCCTTCCCAGCTCCATCGGCTTCGAACGGATTCATCCCCGCTTATCACGGTCTTGGGAGATGCGAAAGTCAATAAGGTAGATCTCGCTGCAGTAGCTGAGTCCATGCAGTGACCTGGGTTCCAGTAGTTCCAGCTACTTCCAGCTACTTCCAGCTACTTCAAGCTTGAAGTGTGCTGGGTTCTGCCAGTTCCTTGTAGATTCGAGTGCGTCCAGGAGGACTTGCTCTATACCATCGACGTGGCCCCCGATTGCGCCGGCACTCCCCACGCCAACGGCTACCGCAGCTGGTTCTTCTTCGGCCTCTCCGTCGCCGAGCCCATCGAAATGGCCAGCTTGGAGGCGAAGGTTCCGGTGGAAGTGCCGGTGGAGAGAGGTGAAGCTCTAGAGGATGAAGGCGACTCCAAACACGTGACGTGTACGAGCACGTGCTTGGAGGAGGGAAGCCGGATGAAGGCGGATGCTGAAGGCTCGAAGTCTACTTCAAGTGATAGTGCTGCTGGAAATGATGCCGAAGAGGAGGAGCCTGCGAAGCCGGAGATGACCAAGACAGAGCTGCCCCAAGTGAACTGTGACTCTTAACGAAGATAAAGCCCGTTGCAATAAGCGGTGGACTATGAAAGGATATATGCATTGGAGTGGTTAAAGGGAACACCCACAACTATGGGGTTTCCTGTAGATGTTCCAAACATCCCTTAAGCTTGATCCACTTACTTTACTCGGGGTCTTCTTCTAGCGTCTCAGAACTCCAGCTCACCACCTTCCCTTTGTGTTTTGTTGAAGACTGTTCTTCTTGGGCCGCTGGGGGGCTTACTGGAGGTCCCCACTGCTCCGATCCCAATGTTTTTTTAAAGGAAGGAGGCCAAAAATCCGGCAAAGCCTTGGAATTCTGCCAGATCAGGGAGGAAACACCTCCAGGGAATCCGCAGCCTTTTTAATACCAGGTTATGTTCACAATCCAAGTCCCAGACGGTCCAGGTGAAATCTCCGTGGTCCTCACGATCCGCAACTTGAACAATCACCGGAAGCTCTTTCGTGACGGCTACCGCCCCTGGTGCAAAATGCCTGGCAAGCCTTGGAGCCGTTTGCCGGACACGCCTCAATTGGGCTTCGCCATCGTGGAGGGGGAGGAGATGGGCATCCGGTGGAGACATGTGCCTTAGAAGAATTAGGGCACAGAAGCAATAAATTACTCCCTTGCAGATGAACATGGAAGCCCCAAAACCACGGAGTTTTAGAGGACAATTGTCAAAAACACCGGTCAATTCCCGGGTTCCATGTTTGGGTGTTTTTCCTCCGAGTTTGGGCGGTGTTTGATGCCATTCGCCAAACTTGCTTTTGCTTGGATGAGTTTGGGGATTTGATGCGCAAATCCCGCGGGAGGGGGAAACTGTTTGTGTTCAAATTTCCGGCTTCCTGAACTGCGGCTTCCGCCGGGCTTTCACCTGGGCGCGCTGCTTCGTGCCCTTTGCCCGTCCAAATAATGGCCGGGCATCGCGATGCCGGCTCCGGAGGGTGTAGTGGGGCACCTGGAACTTCATCCGGATCCTAAAGAAACGACACCATTTCTTGTGGCCATCTGACCAGAAATGCTCTCTCCAAACAAATCTGGAGATCAAATGAATTAGGGACGGTGAAACTTTCAATGACAGGTGCGATTATACATGGACAGTCCTGGCTTATCCTGGCTTACTTGCCAGATTAACCAATGATCAATGACACTGTAACCATGGACTGCCGACATCTCAAGAATGTGGACTGACTCGTCGCGACTCGTCGAGTCTCAGATACCTGGGGGTCCGTGTGTAAATGAGTTGGGGAACCCGTTTGGGGGACCCGTTTGGGGGGACCGGTTTGGGGACCGGTGTCAATCACCCCGACACAACCTGTTTGGGACTGCCAGGACGGACTGCCGCCCCCAGAGGTCGACCCCCTTTCAACCAACCGGGCCCCCTGGGCGTTTCGAAGGCAGTCCGTCCTGGCAGTCCCAAACAGGTCGTGTCCGGGTCATGGAAAGTTTGGTGCGTAGTTGCCTGGACATGACGGCGGGTGTTTGGGGTCCAAATGGAAGAAGAACCACGGATGAAGCTACCAAACATGGTTCATGTTCCCAACGCCCGGAACATCCATGTTCATGCCTGGTCCTTTTCATCCATAACGCCAGCCATGCTCAGAGCACCCACTGATCCAGCACCTTCCCGATCCGGCCGTGCCGACCACACTCCTGACCTGGGAACCCGACTTGGAACACCAATCAAACATCATTCATGGTAAAGATCTCCTGTAACTCCAGGCCCTGGGTTTTATGATAGGGTTTTGAGGGTCCGACCCCTGCCATGGAGAGCCCGGACTCAGATTCTTAGGGTAGCAAGTTATTGGGTTGCTGGGTCATTCTTATTAACCCCTCCGGCCTTCTAGGTTTGGATCTCATCCTGACCTCGTTGCGTTTGCGTCCTCGCCCCGAGGAAGCGTCTCGCGGATCGGGGACCGTTTACTACGCCTTTTGTGCTCCCTACAGCTATTTGGACTGTCAAGGCCTCTTAGAGGATCCGCCCGGTCGTGGGGTGGGGCGTTGTTGCTGAGACGGACAGACATGGACGGATGGACAGAGTCAGACTGTGCTCCGTTTGCGGCCGCATCCAGTGGTTTTAAGACAAGGAGATTCTCCTGTTACTAGTGGGGGTCGGATGGAACTCTTAAGGTCGAGTCAGTGTGTCATCAGCTTAGGACTTCTTGTCACAGCTTGAAGAAGCAATCCTGGACTTGAAGAACCCACCCAGCTAAGATGGTTCGTTGCAGGGCACTCCCCAAGGTTGAAGAGCATGTTGTTGAATGAAGTTTGTTGACTGGTCATTCTGCCAGATGATTCCGGATAATATCATTTGTAAGTCGTGAGTTGCTCCTGCCGGACACTTGGCCTGTCATGGACAGCTGTGCTGCTTGAATCTCTTTCGAGAAAAGGGGGTGGTACATAACTTTTGGAAGGTCAGGTTGACGTCATCAGAGAGTTCTTTCCAGCGCATATTTGGCACATGCGTGGCCTTAACCAAAACGGTCTCCGTCCACAGGACTTAGAGGACACATTCAGCAGCTGTCCATCCTTTTCTTGGCCCGATGAGGGCCGAGGTGCTCTGAGAAACCTTTCCAAGTCCATCAATGATGACTGGTGGCCGAAGGCAGGCACAGACCCTTGGAGAGCGACACGTGGGTGAACTCAAGCTGCCGGTGGTGTGGGTTGGACGCATTCTACATGCATATATACGTATATGACTCTCTCTCTCTCTCTCTCTTCGTGTCAACCCTGCTCCAAAGGAGAAGACATGTTACTCCTGGGAGTCAAAGACTATAAAAGAATGGTCTTGAAAGGGGACCTGAGTCAGGGAACTTCCTGAACACTTCAGCCGGTCAAAATATAGCCGAACTGGACTTCAGCCGGGTCACTGTACTTGTTACTGACTGTTGTTTCTCTCTCTCATTGCGAGCCGTGAAAACGTGGATCGACCAGCGAATCATCATCTTCCCACCAAGGACCTGCTGTTCCGCCGGCAGCTTCTCAATCGCTCCCTGCAGGGCCGCCGGGTGGACCTGTTGACGGTGAGCAAAGCGAGTGGACTCAAGGCCCGGAGCCGGTGCGGCCGTGCGGGAGCCGATCGACCGCCCTGTAGGTTGGAGGGTAGGGCTCTTAGGTTGGAATCACTTAAACAAGCAAACTCCTCCAACCGGTGTAAACTAAAACAATCTAAAACATCTGAAGGGTGCTTGCGCGACGTCGTGCGGGGTGTTTGGAGGGGATGGAAGGCTTTTCGATCTTGGGATCGTAGCCGTTGACATGCCAACATGAGATCCTGTCTGGGGTCCATCACTAGAAACCATCCATGAAGTCATGATGTCTCAGTCTTGATGTTTGCTTGTGATGGACCTCCACTGAACGAGGGGCTGCAAGTGTTCCACCTAGATCTAGCAGACTGTTGAAGAAAGGGTCCCCAGACCCTTCACTACCAGCACCCATCCAGTGGGAACCCACTAAAATAGGTGGACAGTTCGGTTCACCTTGATTTTCTCAACCCAAAAAACAGCGTCGGGGAATCAGTGCAGGGTCCTGGATTCCGATTTCACTTTCCAACCTTCCAGGAGCTGGAGGTTTGGCCGCCAGACTTGCCCTGCGAGAGCCCTCAGGTGCGTCACAGTGTTGGCAGCACCCCGAAGGGTGTGGAACTCGAAAATTGCTCTAGACTCTATAGACCATAAGGAAACGAAAAAGGAGATGGCTAGGTCACAGGCGGAGGACCCTGTTCTTTCCCACCAGCCCGGAGAGGAAGTCGAAGAAATCTATCCCTAGGGCTCCAGTCGTACCTTCTAAGAAGGTGGGACTGGGGTAGGTTTAGAGGCTCCAAATATGTCCAGTCATACCTTCTGAGGAGGTACTTGGAGCCCTAGGGTATATAATTACTGCAATACTGAGGAAGGTCAACCTACCAAGTTGTCTCCGGGCTAGTTGACCCACAGACAACACGTCCACCAGCCTGCCACCACGAGACACCCTGGCTAGCCTGCCACAAGGCGATGAGATTTTATTATATAGATTTCAATTGGGTTAATTGAGTATACCTGGACTTTCAAAGGGGTGTCCTGGCTGGAGATCCCTAGGTAGTGGGCTGGGGCTTCCAGCCAGGTGACCCCGAACTGAAGGTGCTGGTACATTTAGTCAATCTTTTCAATTGGCTGTGGAGGGGGGCTGTGGCGCTTGCGTGGCGCCAGCGCTACTTCGCTGGCGGGGTCAAAGTAGGTCTGGGAACAGCTTCCAATCCCGTGGGTAGTCTGGGAATGTCTGGGATATTTGAATATTAGTATAGCTAGAAGCTATCAGGTTGGAGGCCATTACTACTAGTAACAAGAAGCTACTAGTAGAGATGCCTTAGTTGCTAGTAGCTATGGCCTTGTTACTAGATGAGTAACTATATATATATATATATCACCTGGGAATGGTTGCCACGATTGACCCGGCGGGCGCCACCAAACATCAGAATGTCGGGTCTTGTTGGCTGAGCGGACCTCATTTCAGTGAGTCCGGTCATAGAAAAGCAGCACAACACATGTTTTACTTGCTCCAATAGACCGGTAGGAATATTTTAACATGTCCCAGGGCATCCAGTTACCACTATAGCTGGTAACCAGTGGTTCCAAAGACTAAAATCATAGACTTAGAATCCCTGGTTCCTTATATAGTGGTCACTGGGATGCACTGGGATGTGTTGATACTTGTGGTGCTTCTTCCCATCCGCCACTTGCCAGGTGCTAAGTGGCCATAAGTCATATGTATATGGCCATTTCGCCGGGTGGTTTTCATGTGGTTCTCGGGGCGTGTTTGTTGGGGCATGTTGGCCTTTAACTCCCCACATCTTTCGAACATTGAAGCGCCATGTACTGCGAACCCCCTCCCCTGCGAACCCCCTCCCACGCACCACTTGCGATCCCTGGAAGTGGATTTCATGGTCTTCCTAGTGGCCATGACATCCATCGATGTCTTCGTCGGAGTGTACCGCTCGCCCACGAGAGAACCCTCAGACAGTTGGACTCCTTTTGGGGGGCCCACGGGGGGGGGGGTGGCACAGGGTGGTTTTCCTTATCAAACTGACGAGTCGTTTCAGAGGTTCGATGGCCACCATCCCCACTGTCGGTGCTTTAGATGGACATCTCGAGGGGTGTCAGCGCCATCTTTTTCCTCTGAAACCCACTCGTAAATCAAACACGACCTCACACGGCTCGGACCTTCGCGGCGACACGGCGGCGACACGCGGCGACAGCGGAAGGTGCCGAAGATGGCCGAGCGGCCCATCGTTTTTATCTCTGCACGTGTTCATCCAGGTGAAACACCTGGACAGTGGCTTCGGATCGCAAAAGAGCCTATCGCCTTTTGTTCGATCTTGTGCTATTGTTTTTGGACTCTAAGCAAAAAAAATAAAAAACTCTAAGCATTGCAAGTGAACATTGCAAATGAAGCCATGCCGGTGTTCCTTTCTTCTTGAAGCATGCCGCACGGCCGCACGGCTCCGGTCTGGTCGTCATGCTGGGGACTCCGAGTCCCGCTCCGGTCGCCGGTGCAGCGGTGGTGCCAGGGTCGAACAGGTCGAAAGGTCTCCCCGAGCTACAGGCTACAGGCCCCATATCCCTTCAAAGTCAAAGACAACTTTTTGAAAGATATGGTCTTTGGATGACCCGACGTCTAGGAATGTCCTTGACTTGGGTGCCCAAAAATCGTCGACTTGGACTTCGGAGATCCTCAAGGTGCATCAAGTTCATTCGTGAACTGCAGGTCACATGTTGTCGAGCCGCGTCGTGTTTGAGCGGCATGTTTGGTTCGTTCTTGGGGCATTTTCCACTGACCACGCACCGGTCGGTAGCTCGGTAATTATTACAGTCGATGCAGGTCGATTTCGATGCATGCGCAGGGGAAGGCTAGGCATCTATAGCAGGCACAGTAGCAGGCACCAACAGGGGCATAGAAAGGGATAAACAGTACGTTTTTTTCTCTTCATTTGATGCACCCACCTTTTGGTGCATGCATGCGACCCATAATATTTCCCATTGTTTACCTATACAGGTCAATGATCTCATTTTACTGGACCTGGTCATGCAAAAAGCACGACTTATGGAGTGTCAAAGACCCGGTTTAGACCAGGGTCAGATTGGACGATTGTCAGGTTTGATGTATATGTGTCACGATCGGTCCATTGGCCATTGGAGCACTGGTTGCCCGGTGGTGAGTTTACCGCTCGCATACTAGAGCCATCAAACGAGCCAAGATAGATTGGATTTAACATCCCCCTGATCTAAGCAAGATATTACTACTGTATACCAGGACCCTCTAAGGGGTGCCCTGTCTGGAAGCCTATAGGTAATGTGGAGGAGTCCAGCCAGGACAATGCTTGGAGGGTCCTGGTACAGAGTATGCTAGTATATACTAGAGTATGCTGGCCAAGATGGGACCTCTCAATGATGGGGACGCTTTCGATTGCGCATCCCTTGATCGAAGCAAGTTTTGTGGAAGCACCGGGCCTTTGACAAACCTGCCGCAGTACTAAAGGTTTGGGTCAACTTCTTTCACAGTCCTCGTAGTGCACTTGTTACCCGTTTGGGTCCTTTTTGTTGGCCTAGACCTTCCCAGGCCATCTTAGTTCGGTACGACTGGACCCGAGACCACCTACAGTGTCGAACATATCACCTTCTCAGAGGGTAGGGATCTCTGGGGATTGAATGCTGTCCAACTGGCTTCCAAGCATCTCTATCGTGGCCTGAATTCTACCAGACAGGGATACACCCTAGAAGTCCAAAGACAATATTTTTACCGGCTGAAGTCAAGGAAGTTCCCTGACTCACTTCCCCTTTCAAGACCATTCTTTTTATAGTCGACTGGACTCCCAGGGTATGTTGATAATTCTGATGCCAGCACCTTCACCCGACACTCGCTGCAAGGTTCGTTTTCCTGGGCATCCTGCGGTTTCTTCTTTCAGATGACCCTCGCGCGCGGAGCCTGCGCGAGCGCTTCCAGTTCAAGTTGGTGCCGATGCTGAACCCCGATGGCGTGGCCTGTGGCCATTATCGGACGAACAGCCTGGGATTGAATCTCAATCGACACTATGACAAGCCAAGTCCACATCAGCATGAAGCTGGGTGGTGATTTCAGATATTTTTAAGTAACTTCAGGTTTTTACTTGGCATGATTGCACCCACAGGTCCTCAGCTTGTTGTTTTCAACCTGAACCCACCACGTCTCCTCTTGTTCGTCCGGTTCCTTGCAAGCAGCCAAGCCACCGTGGCTTTGCAGGAAGGCATTTGGGCGGCGAAGCGGATCTTATCCTCCTGGTCCAAGCAGGGCCGCTTGCTCTTCTACCTGGATTTGCATGGGCATGCTTCGAAGCGTGGTTGCTTCCTCTATGCCAATCGTATGGCTGGACCGGGCCAGGGCTGGAATTCGGGATTTGCTCGCTTGTGCCAGATGAACTCGCCTCACTTCGAGTTGGAGCAGTGTCACTCGGACTCGGTTGAGCTTCCGTCGAAGCGTTCTCTCTTCGACATGTGAAACCTCCCCACCATGCCAGCCCGATGGCCGTGTCAGTGTTCTCATGTGTTCTCTCTTGGAGTTGTACGAAGCCCCATGGGAAGCCCCATGGGAAGCACCCGACCCCTGACCTTGGGACTGCCCTCCCACATGTCGCGCTTTCTTCAGGGACTCCGCCACCCGCTCCAGCGATCTCACCAATCTCCAGACCCTTCGCCCGGACGATTGACCGAACATCGCGGGGCGTGGAACATCTGGACTCCACAGAGTCTTGGAATCCAACCCCGGGTCTCAAACTGTTAAAAACCTCGCCCGAACCCTGCCTCAACTGAAGCTCCTCAACTGCCTCATGGATCAAAAAACACTGCCTCAGGGTCCTCGGTCCTCTCGGTGGTTCCCGACTCATGTCACCTGAGGTGAATTCGGTGATGAGGTGGACAAGGAGATCGAAGGTCGTGAAGGTGAGGTCCTGCGGTCGGCCTCTTCGAAGCCGACCGGACTCGACTCGGGCAACCGTGGATGCTGGGACCTATTTTAAGAAACAACCGACCGAAACGGAGTTGGATTTGGGGAGAACGGTGGATGTTAATCGTTTTGTTGCGAGCAGTGCGTGGCATTCAGAGACAATTGAACTGAACAGCCTTAATTGTTTATAGATACCCTATAGGCCCGGTAAGGATTGTTTAATATATTGTTTACATACGCAGGCAAGCGTGGCTCGGGTCGTGTGGCCATTCATCGAGACTGCCGGCTTTGCAACGCCTACACCTTGGAATGTCACTGGGCATTGCACCAGGGGAGATGGTCCGACAGAACCCGTTTCTTTCCGTGGCAGACCGTGGCGATGGGCGATGCCACAGAAAGCATCCGCTCGTGGAGCTTAAGGCTTAAGGTTTGTCGACAGAACCAGATCATCCATGTATGGAGACTTAATGCATTCTAATGCTAGAATCACCCCAATGTAGGCAAATGTTCCCGCCCCACGGATTCGTAGCACAAGTTGGTTTTCGAGGAAAAGTCCGTGGCTCGAGTTGCGACCTGTGAGATGGCCACAGGGTCGGTAGGTCATTGCCGGAGAGAGGCCCCAACCAGTCCTGCACAGTGGGTTCATCGAGCAAATCAGCAGCCAACCCCAGACCATCCATGTATATTGGAACAGTTACACCATTTATGACCTCAATGTAGGTCTGGGAACAGAAGTTCTTAGGTCCTGAACTGACTCATCGAGATCACCTGACATCGCGCCCAAGGCAACTACAACAAGGGAAGAGCTACGAGACCCATTGTCCCTCCCAAAGGCTTGCTGGGTGCAGATCCACCGGCAGCCGAGCTTTTCACTGAGGCTCGGGGCTTTCAGATCACTTGGTGAAGTTCGGGTCAAGAAAGCTGTTTCAGAGCTGTTTGAAGTTGAAATCCGGAATCTGGTTGGCAGGCAGGAAGTGACCAGATCCGGATTTGGGGTGAGTTCTCATCATCCACCTTTTTCTGTCTTTGAAAGCTGCAGGAGCCAGTTCCCTATGCACAAGGTGTTTGGGCACAAGTGGCTTGGCAAACGACTGGCCAGCAAGCTCTGTTCCGAGACATCTCCAGATCTTCTTGGTCTAAGTCATGCGGAGACAGTTGCAGAGACCTATGCAATGCCCCTGTTCACGCCAACGAAGTGGCGTCTAGAGTCACTTCGAGGTCGAACGTGCTTTTCCCGCCGTGGTGCTGAAGCCGATGTTTTAGCTCCCCATGTTCCACACCCAGACCATATCAGACCATCCATGGGAACCAGAATGTTGACCAACGAAAACCTCCGAACCCTACACCTCCCGGCCCATCTTCTCAGGTTCGGTGGAGACTGACCGCCCCCCTCCCAAAACCCACCCGCCCCAACCATCGAACTCGAAAACGGACCGGGGGGGCTTAGAGTTGGAGCCCTGGTACGGACGAACACCGCCACCGGATGGGTGGGCACCTGGTGGTTTGGGTCAGGTGGGCGAAGCCTGCGTGGTGAGCATTTTGGATCTCTTCGGCCACAACTGCCACTCGCGAAGCTCGCCAGGATCGTCATGGGTGTCCAATAGAGAACCCTACCCTACACAGGTCTCGCACTTCCAGGGCGCCGGAAGTGCGGCAGGTGGTGGGACCCCGGCGGGTGTGATGTTCAACAACCTGTGGGAGTCGAAGACTATAAAGAGACCGGTGTGGTGTTTAAGGGGGGGGCCTGATTTTGGGAAAGGCTCCTTTGCATTTCACTATAAGGACCAGGTTTTGGTCAGTATAGTCTTTAAACTTCTATAGGGTTGATGTTCCCGGTTCCTGAGTGAACCCCCTGGCATGGCATGGTTTTTACATTGTTGCTTCTATTTTTCAGTTGTTTTTGTTTTCCTCCTGCTTGCTGGACCAGCGATCCCAAGGTATGCTCAACAGCCGTGGTTCCCTGCACAGCCTTCTTGGGTCCACGATTCGACCTCGCACTGGCCGCATGACGCATGTGAAGGATGTGCTGCCGCAAGGACATGGGGGGCCAAAGCTAACACGGAGATCCGTGCGGAACGTGCGAAATGGTGCACTTTGAAAGTGTGGTGATGTGACGATATGCTAAAGCACGCCAAAGAAGCCATCCCATTTGGACCCAAAGAGATCAAAGAGCCTCCAATTCTCCCTTCACACGCCAGGAGTTGGCCTCACCCCAGAAGACATCGCTGCCCGCGAACGCCCCTGCTGGCGCAGCGCTTGCGGCTGGGCCACCGCCACGAGCTCCGCCCCTGCGGCGCCGCCGCGCGGTGCCAGCCGCGAGGCGGCTGCGCCCGTGCCGCGGGCGTGGTCGGCTCAGACGTCGGAGCTGCGGATTTGCGGCGCACGCGCCGTGCCACGCGCCGACGTGGCGAAGGAGGAGGTGGCTCCGCGTCCCGGCAGCGTGCTGCGACGGCGGCGGACCTTGTCGAGTGACCCGCGAAAGGCGCATAGAGGTGAGTCAGCCAAAGTGCGGCCACCGGAAGTGAAGCTGACTGCTTTAGCGCACTGAGCCAGAAAAAGGAAAGCAATCAATATAGGCTCTCACCAGGAACTAGCCGAATACAGGCTTTGGCAGGGTCCCAACGACCAACGGCCGACGCTTCCTGGTGCACGAATAGATAGGGGGTCCTGGGCTGTGTTAGTATAGGGTGGCGGCCGCACGTGGACCGTTTGAAAAGAACCCCCAGGGCTCCAGTCGTACCTCCTCAGAAGGTATGACTGAACCTATTTGGAGTTTCCTGGCACCTACCCCAGTCTCACCTTTTTGGAGCCCCTTCTCGGAACAGCACTCCAAGTGCACTACTGGTGTTCATCCGTTCGTGACCTAACCTGAATCCCCCAAATGTTTGAGGTCACAACAGGCCTCTAAAAGGTCACTAGTAAGGTGACTCAAACCAAGTTGGTCATTTGAAGACGCCGGTGCAGGCGCTTTTGGGGTCGCTTTTTGGTGATCAGATTGGCCCGTAACCTGCCTGCACCGCCCCTGGGGCGGGAGAGGGTGCCATCGATCGAGCGAGGCAGCGGCCGCTGGAATCTGTCACGCCTGCGGTGGAGCTGGCCAACTCTGCTACGCCACTGCCCGAGGTGCTTTCAGCGCTTTCGAGGTCGTTTGGGGCATGCAAATTGGGGCGCTTCCGCAGATGAGACAACGCCGGAAGCCTTTCCAGCGCCGGTGCCCGCTGGTCACAACCGTCACAAAAGACGCCGTCCTTTGGAAAAAGACACCGTAACGGCATGTAACGGCAATTTTTCTATATTTTTCTCGAAAAGGCCCGTTGGCGCCGTTTGGAATATCCAGGGCATTTTCTGGGCCAAGTCTAATGGATATGATTGAGCCAAGGGAAGGAACGTTAACGCCACGATATCTGGTCCAGGCACGTCCAGGCAGCTCCCACTGTCGGACCATCTCGGATTAGGATGCTTGTGTGAACCACCATCGCGTGTTAGAAATGTGCAGGCCAGAATCTCAACATGTTGGGGTGGGGTATGGTAGGACGGGAGGAAGATGAGACAAGGGCCCTGATTGTCCAAAACGAGCTTGGCAAGATTGACACCGATTAACATGCAGGTCGACCTGTGTCACTTCAGGGTAACGCCTATACTGTCTAGATATACTCATTAACCCCATAAAATGCCCATAAAGAACTGCGCTCGGAGCGGCCTCGAAGTCCTATACAAAACCAACCCTCCCCACGGCTCCAAACTCTGGGGTCAGGAAGTGTCGCTCATCCAAGACTTGTGCACTCGCGGCGTCTTCAACCGTCTCTATGAGGAGCGGGGGAAAGGGTACGGAGGCATTTTGCGACAATCGGGGGGCAGAATAGCTGGAAGATACAGCCTATACCAGGACCCTCCGACCCTCGGGGTGCCCTGTCTGGAAGCCATCCTAGGATCCGTGTGGAGTAGTCCAGCCAGGACACCCCTGTCGGGTCGGAGGGTCCTGGTAGCATGGAATGATATGGATTTAAGTCTGGCGGACCCGTCCGGCGTCAGTTCGGTGATGCACCGTTCGGTGTGAATAAACATGCATGGACCTCGGGTCACCTAGACCACTGAGACTCTCATGGACTTCGGTTGAGAAACAATAAGGCGGTTTCAGAGTAGATGGCACGTTTCCACCAAGATGTCCTGAACAAATGGGGTTCCATATAAACCACCGACCTTGGGGTCTGTGCCATTGGTCCTCTCAATCCACTATAGGCACAGGGGCCATTTGGATCCATTTCCGCAGGACGCCATCCGGCGCCGCGAGCTCGATGCGGTCGACCCGTCCGGCGAGCAAGGGGAAGGAGGTTTTTCACGGGAGTGGCGGGAAAACACACCCTAGACTTTGGCTCCAGTCGTGCCTTCTTCAGAAGGTGGGACTGGGGTAGAGGCTCCAAATATGTCCAGTCATACCTTCTGAGGAGATACGACTGGAGCTCTAGGGACAATGATGTCAGAAAAGACCCGGCATCTTTCGCAGGTCAAACACCCCACGTCAGGTGGATGTGAAATGATGTGAACACATGACCTTGGCTCATCGACGCTGTTTGAGCTGAAGGATGCTGAATGAACCAATTAGACGCTCATCGAATAAATTCTCATGTACTATTTTATGCCGTATATACTACTCCTCCATATAAGAAGAGCTCTTACCAACCCAAAGTTGGGGGGGCTAATGAATCTGGACCATCCACCGGGGTGCCCTGCACCGGGAAGGGGACGACTCCAGCCACAACCCCGATGGTCGGATGGTCCTGGAGAGTTTCAGGACGATGGTGTGGGGAAAAGGGCGACGGTTTGGATGACATGGCATGGTCATCATGGTCATCCCAATTAGATCAATTAACCCACTAAGCAAACACAAGAAGAGACTCCAGGTCCAGTTCCACGTCGGTTTTTGGAAGACAAACCTCATGTCCTTCGAACGGCACGCCTCTGATCGAATAGCACGTCGAACGGCACTCATCCTCGGAACTCTACCCGGATCGATTGAATGTCTCCGGACCCTACTAAGAGTTCCATATCCAAGTGGTGTTGAGACCCGCCATGCACCGTGCATGCATGTATATACAAGAGGCCCCGCGCTTCGAGCGGCACTATTGCTAGTAGAATTGCTGGTGTCGACCGAGGCCTAGGCCCTCCGAGTCTTGGGTTCGGGGACCAAGCGCTGGACCTCGAGCTCCAGCTCGAGGGAGAAGTGGTTGAGGGAGCTCAAGGGCCGCGAAAGAAATCTAAGGAAGGCTAACGAGATGCTGAGCGTGGTGGGATTCAATTGTTAGATGGGGTGCATCGTGCTAACTAGATCTAACTAGATGTGCATGCTTCAAGGCTATACTGTATAGTTGAATGCAATCCAATGCAATCATTGATGCGTATCTGGTTGAAGAAACGCATCGTTGTCAAAGCATCACAGCGAATTCCCCAACTTTAAAGGTCAGCTGGAGATTTGGCAGGGCATGACAGGGCCTTGCGCCACCGATCAAAACAGTTACATTCACTAATCAGAAGTCCTAGAAAGCCTCCTCATCCCACTGCTGGACATGTATGAAATCAGTGCATCCTCTCCTACACATTTCAGAAAACACTTCGTTCAGAAGTGTACCCTTACCTCCACCTGAGGCTGGCTGTGCCTCACACTGGGAACAGGAGAAGCGGCCACACTCGGCGTCCTGCGCCGTGGCACAGCACTGAGCGAAGTCACAGCGGAAGGCACAGCGAAGTCACTGGTTTCACTGATAAGAGTCATGCTCAGGGCCAGCGCCTGCAGCAGGCACGCAGTTGCAGTCGGAGCCTGCATCTCTCCAGTCTTTGGACATCGTATCTCCATGTATCTCCTATTATAATATAACACGTCAGGGAGAAATCCAGTGCTGACATGGATGCTCATCTTGATGGCATAGTACAGCGACTCACTATAGAAGAATATTTGGCAGCAAAATGGATTGCAGGAACATGTCCAAAAAGAAGCATCATGATAGCCAAGACTAAAACTCACAAATCTGTACTCTCTCGCTGTGCAGCTCCCCTCGCGCCAGGCGGCGAGCTCCGTGGCGCGCAGCCGTTCGGAGCCGCCCCAGCCGCCGCGCAGTCGCTCCTCGGGCGTGGTGGAGATGCTGCGCAGCAACGCGCAGAGCCTGAGGCGGGGGTCCGCGGACCGGGTTTTGGCCATCGGGGGTGGCCGACAACGGCAGGAGCGCATCGGCGGGGTGGAGTTGGGGTTCCGGGGAGGTTGGGGTGAATTGATGGTCATGCGTGAAATGGGGCTCAAGGAGAACTGCTTGGTTTTCACCGTCTTGTTGAAGGACTGGGGCCCAGAAATCCACATACCTAGCAGCCAGTTGGAGGGCTGAATGATAGGTTTTGCCAGTGAACTTCCCGAATTAAACATCCAATATTGCAGTCATGCCACGTTTCCGTTCCAAAGCGGCCCCTGAAACTGGGTGAACGTCCGTTCGTGCGACGTGTTCGTGTGGAAATACGCCAGGGACACCCTGGATGAGCTGCCTGGATGCAAGATGATGCACGTGATGCAGAGTTAGAAGCTGCATGTTAAGCATCGAGACATGTCACGCCCGTGAAGTCATGCACATGAAGTCAGGAACATCAAACGAAGCACCAGCACAAAACCACACAGAAACCCTTTGATTCTTCCTAATGCGATTCCTAGTCCTATAACCACGGTCGATTTTGTGCATGACAGCTCGGTTGGGGTTCTCCGCTGCGACTTTGTTTGACCACGGCCCTGGAGTTGTTTCCAAGGCCTCTCTTCTTCCACAATTTGAGACTTCCAGTGTCACCCGCTTTGCCACCGACCCTCGACAATCTGCCAGGTGGAACGGTGGGGGGGGAGAAAAGGGGTTGCACACCAAGCAAAGCGGCCTGCTGGCACAAGAATTTGGGTGAGTCATGAGTTGGGACATGTCATGACATGTCTTTTCCAAGATTTACGCTGCCTGAAGCTGATTCGCACCTCTTCGACCTCTGATTGAGGGATTCTTGCTTTGCAGCTCAGTTGGGCCATGTTGGACCTCCTGTTACCGGAGTTGATCGCGCCAAAAGCGAAGACACCATTCCCTTGCGAGGCTTGCCACAGGAACAAGGCCAACTTTGATCGCCCAGCGTTCAAGGCTCAGCGGTTTCGCAACTAAACCTGCCAGTCCAGTTGGCCGGTAGGAATCGACCTGTTCTCGACCTCAGAGAATGGGGCACAGTCGTGCCGAAGTAAACAGGTTCATGTCCCCATTTTCTATAGGGTACGAGCGAGTTGGTTGGGTCCAGGTATGCCAACTACTCGATGTTCAGTCCTTCAACAAGTCCCGCTGCCTCCGTTTAGACCTTGGCCAAGAGACCGGGAGACCTCTTACAATGAGACGTCTCACTGACTGCCCTTCACAAGTACCTGAAGAAAAGAACAGGACTCTGATGAACAATAGTATGTTTCGGGTTCTTCAACCCCTGCCAAAATGTAATTTAATCACCCAAGTGTGTTGCACCCCTCAAGCCATGGCTGTCCTGGACCCGTTC